TAACCAGGAGATTAACCAGAGATTAACATAGATTAAACCAGAGATTAGCGGAGATTAACAAGGTAACCAGAGATTAACCAGAGGATGAACCATAGACTTAACAAGAGATTAACCAGAGGATGAAAACCAGAGATTACCAGAGATTAAACCAGAGATTAAACAGAGCTTAACCAGAGATAACCAGCGATTAACCAGAGACTTAACCAGAGATTAACAGAGATTAACCAGAGAGTAACAGAGATTGCATTCACCAGAGATTCACCAGAGATTCACCAGAGATTCACCAGAGATTCACCAGAGATTCACCAGAGATTAACCAGAGATTAACCAGAGATTAACCAGAGATTAACCAGAGATTAACCAGAGATTCACCAGAGATTCACCAGAGATTCACCAGAGATTCACCAGAGATTCACCAGAGATTAACCAGAGATTCACCAGAGATTAACCAGAGATTCACCAGAGATTCACCAGAGATTCACCAGAGATTCACCAGAGATTCACCAGAGATTCACCAGAGATTCACCAGAGATTCACCAGAGATTCACCAGAGATTCACCAGAGATTCACCAGAGATTCACCAGAGATTCACCAGAGATTAACCAGAGATTAACCAGAGATTAACCAGAGATTAACCAGAGATTAACCAGAGATTAACCAGAGATTAACCAGAGATTAACCATAGATTAACCAGAGATTAACCAGAGATTAACCAGAGATTAACCAGAGATTAACCATAGATTAACCAGAGATTAGCCAGAGATTAACCAGAGATTAACCAGAGATTACCCAGAGATTAACCATAGATTAACCAGAGATTAACCAGAGATTAACCAGAGATTAACCAGAGATTAACCAGAGATTAACCAGAGATTAACCAGAGATTAACCATAGATTAACCATAGATTAACCATAGATTAACCAGAGATTAACCAGAGATTAACCAGAGATTAACCAGAGATTAACCAGAGATTAACCATAGATTAACCAGAGATTAACCATAGATTAACCAGAGATTAACCAGAGATTAACCAGAGATTAACCATAGATTAACCAGAGATTAACCAGAGATTAACCAGAGATTAACCAGAGATTAACCAGAGATTAACCATAGATTAACCAGAGATTAACCAGAGATTAACCAGAGATTAACCATAGATTAACCAGAGATTAACCAGAGATTAACCAGAGATTAACCATAGATTAACCAGAGATTAACCAGAGATTAACCAGAGATTAACCAGAGATTAACCAGAGATTAACCAGAGATTAACCAGAGATTAACCAGAGATTAACCAGAGATTAACCAGAGATTAACCATAGATTAACCAGAGATTAACCAGAGATTAACCAGAGATTAACCAGAGATTAACCAGAGATTAACCAGAGATTAACCAGAGATTAACCAGAGATTAACCATAGATTAACCATAGATTAACCAGAGATTAACCAGAGATTAACCAGAGATTAACCAGAGATTAACCAGAGATTAACCATAGATTAACCAGAGATTAACCAGAGATTAACCAGAGATTAACCAGAGATTAACCATAGATTAACCAGAGATTAACCAGAGATTAACCAGAGATTAACCAGAGATTAACCAGAGATTAACCAGAGATTAACCAGAGATTAACCATAGATTAACCAGAGATTAACCAGAGATTAACCATAGATTAACCAGAGATTAACCAGAGATTAACCAGAGATTAACCAGAGATTAACCAGAGATTAACCAGAGATTAACCAGAGATTAACCAGAGATTAACCAGAGATTAACCAGAGATTAACCAGAGATTAACCATAGATTAACCAGAGATTAACCAGAGATTAACCAGAGATTAACCAGAGATTAACCAGAGATTAACCAGAGATTAACCAGAGATTAACCAGAGATTAACCAGAGATTAACCAGAGATTAACCAGAGATTAACCAGAGATTAACCAGAGATTAACCAGAGATTAACCATAGATTAACCATAGATTAACCAGAGATTAACCAGAGATTAACCAGAGATTAACCAGAGATTAACCAGAGATTAACCAGAGATTAACCAGAGATTAACCAGAGATTAACCAGAGATTAACCAGAGATTAACCAGAGATTAACCAGAGATTAACCAGAGAATTACAGAGATTTACCAGAGATTAACCAGAGATTAACCAGAGATGAAACCAGAGATTAACCAAGATTAACAGAGACTTCCAGAGATTAACCAGAGATTAACCAGAGATGACCAGAGATTAACCAGAGATTAACACCAGAGATTAACCATAGATTACCCAGAGATTAACCAAGGATTAACCATAGATTAACCATGAAAAAAAGGAAAATTTTACCAGAGATTAACCAGAGATTACCAGAGTTTACCATAGATTAACCAGAGAATTAACCCTGATTAAACCAGAGATTAACCAGAGATTACCAGAGATTAACCAGATATTACATAGTTAACCAAGATTAACCAAAATTAACCAGAGATTAACCAGAGATATTACCAGAGATTAACCAGAGAGTACCCATAGAATTAACCAGAGATTAACCATAGATTAACCATAGATTAACCAGAGATTAACCATAGATTAACCAGAGATTAACCAGAGATTAACCAGAGATTAACCAGAGATTAACCATAGATTAACCAGAGATTAACCAGAGATTAACCAGAGATTAACCAGAGATTAACCAGAGATTAACCAGAGATTAACCAGAGATTAACCATAGATTAACCAGAGATTAACCAGAGATTAACCAGAGATTAACCAGAGATTAACCAGAGATTAACCAGAGATTAACCAGAGATTAACCATAGATTAACCAGAGATTAACCAGAGATTAACCATAGATTAACCAGAGATTAACCAGAGATTAACCAGAGATTAACCATAGATTAACCAGAGATTAACCAGAGATTAACCAGAGATTAACCAGAGATTAACCAGAGATTAACCATAGATTAACCAGAGATTAACCAGAGATTAACCAGAGATTAACCAGAGATTAACCAGAGATTAACCAGAGATTAACCAGAGATTAACCATAGATTAACCAGAGATTAACCAGAGATTAACCAGAGATTAACCAGAGATTAACCAGAGATTAACCATAGATTAACCAGAGATTAACCAGAGATTAACCAGAGATTAACCAGAGATTAACCAGAGATTAACCAGAGATTAACCAGAGATTAACCAGAGATTAACCAGAGATTAACCAGAGATTAACCATAGATTAACCATAGATTAACCATAGATTAACCAGAGATTAACCAGAGATTAACCAGAGATTAACCATAGATTAACCAGAGATTAACCAGAGATTAACCAGAGATTAACCAGAGATTAACCAGAGATTAACCATAGATTAACCAGAGATTAACCAGAGATTAACCAGAGATTAACCAGAGATTAACCAGAGATTAACCATAGATTAACCAGAGATTAACCAGAGATTAACCAGAGATTAACCATAGATTAACCAGAGATTAACCAGAGATTAACCAGAGATTAACCAGAGATTAACCATAGATTAACCAGAGATTAACCAGAGATTAACCAGAGATTAACCAGAGATTAACCAGAGATTAACCAGAGATTAACCAGAGATTAACCAGAGATTAACCAGAGATTAACCATTAACCAGAGATTAACCAGAGATTAACCAGAGATTAACCAGAGATTAACCAGAGATTAACCAGAGATTAACCAGAGATTAACCATAGATTAACCAGAGATTAACCAGAGATTAACCAGAGATTAACCAGAGATTAACCATAGATTAACCAGAGATTAACCATAGATTAACCATAGATTAACCAGAGATTAACCAGAGATTAACCAGAGATTAACCATAGATTAACCAGAGATTAACCAGAGATTAACCATAGAGATTAACCATAGATTAACCAGAGATTAACCAGAGATTAACCATAGATTAACCAGAGATTAACCATAGATTAACCAGAGATTAACCAGAGATTAACCATAGATTAACCAGAGATTAACCATAGATTAACCAGAGATTAACCATAGATTAACCAGAGATTAGGCGGTCCCATCCCAGGTGCAACGTCAGAGCTGAAGGAGAAGGATCCGATGGATCCGGCGATTTGATGATGGATGGAAGCCCTGGAAAACCATGGCAAAAAACGATGGAAAGATCCAGCATTTTATAGCTGGGTAAATGAAACAAGTTACTGTAAATAGCTGGGTAAATCCACCATTTTATAGCTGGCAATGTTCTTTTTTTGTTATGTTAAATTGTGAAAAATTACCAGAGTGTACTGTAAACTAACCAGGTAAAGTCACAATTTCTATGGACGATGGAAAATCCTTTTTTTTATGGGTAAATCCAGAATAAATGGGCCATTTTCAATAGTTTTTTTGTATGTTTACCGGAGGGTATAGAACATGGTGATGAAAATGATGTGGTGATTTCTGACATCAAATCTGGTGGTGATATAATTTTTCTATGTTCATGGTGCTATAATGGTGATATGATGTGTTTTTTTATATGGTGACATCGAATCTTGTATGGTAATTCTGTGAAGATCCCCAGCAACCCGACTCGGAGCTCGAGTTTACGAAGTTACTATATCCATTTGGGTAAATTACCCTCTGGTAAACGTTTACATAGCTATTGAAAATCACCATTTTTTAATGGGAAAATCAACGATTCATTTTCAATAGCTATGTTAAATTACCAGAGGGTATCATATTTCACTCACCTGAATTAAGTTCGGCCATTTGGGGATGATTTCCCGCAACAAAAACCCATGGATTCCAGGCTTCGGTCGTAGTGAGAGGTTCGGTGGTTGACCCATGGAAATCATGGGTAGCCTCTGGTGATTTAGCAGCCATGGAAAGTGTAGCCAGGGCCCAAAAATAAATTGCTGATGTATGATGAAATGGTGATTTCTTGATTTTCATGTATAATGTATAATGATAATTATATATATACTGTCGTGGGAGAAAGGTACCATCCTCCTGGACTCAAGTTCATGGGTTGGTCGTCACAAGCTGTACACTATGAAGAGTCCAGCAACATGCATATCGGTGCGTCACGACTGGGGGCAGATATGGCTGAAAAAGAGGGGCTAGCCTGGGCAGCACTCTGGCGACTCAGTCAGAATTGGAGCATTGCCACTTGTTTTCGTTCGGATTCTCGTACGGCACTTGGACAAGCTGAAGGAACAGTCGGCACTACGCAGGTGGACGAGATCTTTGGCTTCATGCGTGGAGTTTTTCAGGCAGTAGAATCAGCGCTGGAGCCCCACAATGTGGCTTATTCACATGTACCTGGACATGCAGGCGAAGTGTGGAATGAGCTATGTGACTGGCTGGCAAAGGAGGAACGAAGGAGCAGCTTTTACTGTCCCAGGCCTACACTTGACGTGCAAAAATGGAAGAGAGCCATGGGCCACATTTGGATGCTATTCAATCAACATGATGATCTACCAGCCTTCTGTGGGGTTGGGTTTCATGCACCTCCACCCAGCTTGCCATCCGGAGCGACAGCACCCTTGTTGCCAAGCAAACCGCAGCACCGACACAGAAAGCTTGTCTTCACTATGAGCGTGTGTTCTGCCAACGTTCAATCACTCAGCAGTGGTCCACATGGTCATGCAGGGAAGATAGCGTACCTTCGACAACAAGTTCGAGCTCTTCATTTCAACTTCTTGGGCATTCAGGAGGCGAAGACCCAAGAGACATGCACCTACGTTGACCAAGTCTATCGCCTGGCCAGTGGATGTGAACGGCAGCAACAAGGTGTGGAATTGTGGATCAACATGGCTCAACCCTATGGGCACCTCAATGGCAAGCCTTGCTACTTCGAGAAAGGTGACTTCCAGATCACACTCAAAGACCCTCGGATCCTCATGGTGCGTGTCGACACTCAGTTTTGGAATGGATGGATTGTGGTTGCATACGCGCCACAAAGTGGCATCAGCAGGGGAGAGAGGGCAGACTGGTGGCAACACTTTGCTGAAGTCACACAAAGCAGAAGAGAACATGAGCCGCTGATTGTCTTGATTGATGCGAATGCGGCCCCAGGAGATTTTGATGGTAAGGCAGTTTACAAGAGGGACCTGGCGACCTCTTCAAGCACGGAGTTCATGCGGGAGTTTGCGGAGGCCCATGATCTTTTCCTACCTTGCACTACATCAGCACATGTTGGTGACATTTGCACATGGACCGATCCGAGTGGCACGCACTCCTACTGCATCGACTATATCATGCTCTCCCGCCACTTTGCAGAAGCTTGTAAGACTTCACAAATTGCTGAGGAGTTTGACAATGCCTCCTCAGACCATGTTGCACCTCTTGTGGAATTGGAGTGGACAGCGACAGTTCAGGTGCACAGACCCAAGAAGCAAAGATCTCCTGCCTACGACGCAACACAAATCTCGGCCACCGTTGTTGCTGATATTCTTCAGAATTATACACCAGCAGCATGGCATACTGATATTGAGAGCCAGGTTGACAATCTCAACGAGGCGATCCTTCATGGTCTCTGTCAAGCCTGCCCCAAGTCTGGCACACAGGCCAAGAAGCCCTACATGAGCGAGGAGCTATGGCAGTTGCGACAGCACAAATAAACTCCAGACGCGCAAGAGGCTGAAAGACATCAGTAGAAGACAGCGAGAAGAAAGTTTGGTGTGCTTTTTCAAGCTTTGGCATGCGGTGAAGAAGCAGGACAAGCCAATCTCTGGCACTCAAATGTGGGAGTATGGCAATTTCCTCCTCTTGCAGTCCCTCCGATGTTCGGCAAGATTGTTTCATTACACCATCAAGCTTCGAGGGAAGCTCAAGAATGCCAAACAGAATCACATCAAAGCCAAGATTGAGAGTCTCCCAGAGGGTGCGTCAGCTGCAACCATCCTGCACGAAATGCGCCCAATACTGGGACCATCCAACTTGAAGAAGGTCAAAACGGCCACCTTGCCGTATGTGAGAAAGGAGAATGGAGAGATCTGTACACTACCGAATGAGGCAGTTGATACCTGGCTGACATTCTTCAGCACGATGGAAGCAGGAGAACGTTTGCCTCTTGAAGAACAAAGGGAGCTCTGGATTCGAAACCTTGCTGACCTCCAACAAAGCTCCTTCACCATTGATGGGGAACATCTTCCACGCTTGCTCGACCTTGAAGCGGCGCTACGGCGTGTGAACCCACAGAAGGCCACAGGGCCTGATCATGTGCACCCTCGTTTTTGCTGTGCAGCTCCGCATCGACTTGCTCGCAAGCTTTACGGGGCATTGATGAAGTTGCTCACACATGGGCAGGAGTCTCTCTGCCACAAGGGAGGTTTGCTGCACCCGGTGTGGAAAGCCAAAGGAGCGAAAGACCTATGCACATCTTTTCGGAGTATTTTAGTGTCCAGCCACATCGGCAAAAGTCTTCATCGCAGCATTCGCCAACATCAGGCCACCCTCTTCAGTGCCTTCCTTCAGAGAGAGCAGATAGGAGGACGGCCGCGAGCTCCCGTCACTTTGGGAGTACACATTGGTCGTGCTTTTCTGCGAGCACGAAAGGCACAAGGGCACAATGTGGCGATGCTGTACCTTGACCTCACGGAGGCGTTTTATCGCATCCTGAGACCTCTTGTGGTTGGCGGTGAGATTGATGACGAGCTGGTTCTCTATGTTGGTGCTCGACTTGGACTTTCGGAGGATCTTTTGGAAGACCTTCATCGTCACCTGGCCGAGCCGACAGCGGTAGAATGTGCCCACCTGCCGCAGCATTTGCAGCTCACTCTGCGGGCGTTGCACCAAGACACCCATTTTCATGTCAAGGGGCAGGAGGACAGCTGCAGGACGAGGCTCGGTTCTCGTCCGGGGGACTGTTTTGCGGATGTCATCTTTTCATATTTGTGGTGCCGCATTTTGACACGCCTTCAAGATCAGCTCAGCTCCCTGGGCATTGGCGAGGTCTTCCCCAAGCAGACAGGTTTGGTTTTGAAAGCAGCTGAAGGTGACGGTCCTATTGAATACTGCAGCTTTCTCGGTCCAACGTGGATGGACGATACATGCGTCTGCATCTCAGATGTCTGCCCGCAGGCCTTGGAGCACAAGATCACACAAGCTGCCAGTGAGCTTCTTTTTTTGTGCGATTCTCATGGGCTTTCTCCAAATCTTTCTCCAGGCAAGACGGAGGCGCTTTTGGTTTTCCAAGGTAAGGGCTCAAAGCAGATGCGTGTCAAGTACTTTGGACCAAATTCAGAGAATGTGATCACGACAATTGGGGAGCGGGGGCTGCGCAAAATCAAGGTTGTGGGCCACTACACCCATTTAGGATGCGTCATCCACCACCGCTCCGACAATAGGAAAGAAGCCAGAAGACGCATCGGCATTGCGCAACAAGCTTTCACTCAGCACCGTCGTCATCTTCTTCAAAATCCACAATTGCAGCCAGGCAAACGCATCGAACTTTTCAAGACGCTCATCTTGAGTCGTTTCAGTTTTGGTACGGAGTCCTGGACCTTTGAAGATCACAAGAGCAGAGAACATGTGCATAATTCTTTGATGCGTCTTTTTCGTCGACTTTTGAAAGTACCACATGATGCTCACCTCACCGACGAGGACATCCTGGTTGGCACTGGGCTCAATAGCCCGACGGAAATTCTTCGCATATCAAGACTCCGTTACCTGGGCACCCTGTACAGATGCGGTGACTTGGTTCCATGGGGCCTGCTCAACAGTGACACCGAGTGGAAGAGACTCTTGGCAGATGACTTGGATTGGATGTGGATGCAACTTCGTGCGGCCTCCACGCTGACTAATCCTGCTGACAGAATTGGTCCATGGGAGTCAATATGGCTCTATCACCCGTCCTACTGGAAGAGGTTGGTACGACGGGCAGGCAAACATGCCCTCTTGCAACGACAGAGAAGTCATCGTGTGGGACAATTTCATGGGCGCTTTTGTCTCCTTTTTGAACAAGTTCTTCCTGGGCACTTTAAGCAGCACAGAGTTGAACGCTCTCCCATTGAGACGGAGGAAGTACACGCCTGCATGCAATGTCGGCAGGTCTTTGCCAGCAAAGGAGGATTAGGAGCGCACAGCTTCAAGCGGCATGGCACAGTGGCCAAAGTCAGGTTCCTCTTTGACAAGACCAGCTGCGGAGCATGTCTCAAAGAGTATCATACCTTCAGCAAACTTCAAGCACATCTCAGCAACTCCGGTGCTTGCAGAAGGGTCCTTTGGGGACGGCGACGATACAACGGACCGGGTCATGGAACAGGCTCCATGATTGATCGTCAACTTTGCCAGCAGCATGATGGCATTCTTCCGCCGCTTCAAGGACACGGCCCTCATCTACCAGCCCGGGCGCTTGTTGAGATCCCGGAGTACGACCTTGAGCTGGCGGAGTGCATCTACATGGCCCTTGTGGAGTGCGAGGACAAGAACCTGGTTGAGCAAGTGGTACGGGAGATCCTATCCACACGTTCTTCATCCTGGCGTTCATGCAGGGCATCACTATACTATATGCTGGAGGAGCTCACGACAGAGGACATCGAGGCCTTGGACCTTGGGGATATTGACGTGAAGCAGATCTTAAACTTCCTGGCCACGACTGAGGCCTGGCCTTTTCTTATGGAGGCCCCCACACATGCGCGCACAATCCTGGCGGAAGAGCAGCTGGCCGCCTGGCATGGCCGGAGTTTGAGTTCCTCGAACTCACAGGGTTTGTGGGGTGCTCCCAGCCGCAAACCCACGGGGCTGTTGCTTCTCAATATGACCTCCATGGTGGCGCAGCTTCGAAGATGGCAAGTCGCGTCAGACGTCCCACGAGGGATCTCCATCGGCCTCACCAAGGAGGGGATCTGGGCGACTAGCCTCTTGAAGGAATATCCTCCTGCATTATGTGCAGGACTTGCAGGAGGATTTGTTTCCACTCTACAGGAACACCCTGTAGACGATTTTGTGGTTCCAACTAGCGATTTCCGAAGGCAGGCCAAAGACATGATTGTGTCTGAAATGGGGCCATGTGCAGGCCCGGACTTCGCACATTAGTTGAGTTCCACATTTTAGGGTTTCTTTTTCACCTGTCGCTGGCAGGAACTTTGCAAGGCCGCAGCTTACGCTTCTTGGTGCCTGGAAGGGAAAAAATATAGTATATGTAATATATATATATATATATATAGTATATGTAATATATATATATTATATTATATTATAATATATATATATATATGGTCACCCCCCCCTCCAATTGAAAGGGGACATTGGTCGCTTGTGACCCTAATCACTGTTTCTACGTTTTGAAGTAAAAAAGATAGGGTCACAAGTGACCAGGTGTGCTCGAAGTCCCACACCTGCCACACGAAAATGGTGCGGCCCCTTTGTGGTCGCCTGTGACCCTACTCGTGCCCGAAGCATGATTTTTGGAGGAAGTCTCGCAGAAAAGCTTCGTTTTTGAGTTTCGTAGCTTCATTTTTGAAGGAAGTCTCGCAGAAAAGCTTCGTTTTTGAGTTTCGCAGCTTCATTTTTGAAGGAAGTCTCGCAGAAAAGCTTCGTTGTAGAGCTTCGAAGCATCATTTTTGAAGGAAGTCTCGCAGAAAAGCGTCGTTTTAGACCTTCGAAGCTTCATTTTTGAAGGAAGTCTCGCAGAAAAGCTTCGTTTTAGAGCTTCGAAGCTTCATTTTTGGAGGAAGTCTCGCAGAAAAGCTTCGTTTTAGGGCTTCGAAGCTTCATTTTTGAAGGAAGTCTCGCAGAAAAGCTTCGTTTAAGGGCTTCGAAGCTAGGTTTTTGAGTTTGGAAGCTTCAGTTTTGAAGGAAGTCTCGTAGAAAAGCTTCGTTTTAGAGCTTCGAAGCTTCATTTTTGAAGGAAGTCTCGCAGAAAAGTTTTTGTGTTTGAGTTTCGAAGCTTCATTTTTGTAGGAAGTCGCGCAGAAAAGCTTCGTTTAAGGGCTTCGAAGCTACATGTCATTTATTTATTTATCTATCTATCTATCTATCTATCTATCTATCTATCTATGTGTCTATCTATCTATCTATCTACCTATCTAATTATCTATCTATCTATCTATCTATCTATTTATCTATCTATCTATCTATCTCTATCTATCTATCTCTCTATCTATCTTGTTATCTTATCTTATCTCATCTTATCTTATCTATCTATCTATCTATCTATCTATCTATCTCTCTATCTATCTTGTTATCTTATCTTATCTTATCTCATCTTATCTTATCTTATCTCATGTTATCTTATCTTATCTTATCTTAACTTATCTTATCTTATCTTATCTTATCTATCTATCTATCTATCTATCTATCTATCTATCTCTCTATCTCTCTCTATCTCTCTATCTATCTATCTATCTCTCTCGCTCTCCCTTTCTATCTTGTTATCGCTGTATCTCTTTACCTCAAGTTCTAAAAACGGTCCGAACATGGTGTGTTTTGTACATGTTGACTCTCTCTCTCTCTCTCTCTTTCTATCTCTTTATCTCTCTATCTCTCATCTCAACTGCTAAAGGCGGTCCGAACATGTTGGTTTTTGTGCATGTTGACTTCGAAATGGACGTCACGCCACAACGGCGTGCAATTTTGTATTTCTCATCTGGGCAGCTGGCTCCGCGCCCGCCGCTGTAGCGAGCTTACTTGTCGACCCTCCGGAGCCACAAGGCATTGGAAAACACTACCTTTTGGCTCCTCTGCATCTTCTTTCTTCTGACTCGTTCTCTTCTCTGATCTGCTCTCTTCTGCTCTTCTCTTCTCTCTGCCTCTTCCCATCTCTGCTTTTCATCTGCCCATATTGTCGGAAGTTTGATTTCGAAACTTCCTTCGATAATGCAAAATATATTCACGAAGAAAGTTATACACAGACAAACTCGCGGCCAGACAATTATACAGAAAGTTGCGGCCAACTTTAGCAATCCATGCGTCGGTGATGCACTGAATTTCACCACCATTGACAATGGTATAGTATGATAGTATACTGTTATATCCATGCATGTCCATCTATTTGTCCATTAGGGCATTAGGGCATATCCATTCACATTGTACATGGGTTGTACAAGTCTCGTGACCTTCCAATATGTTGCACTGTGGTGCTCAAGTGATTGCTGAAATCCTGGGAGAAAGATTAGTTTGTGAAGTTCATGCGCGCACTTGCGCTAAAGAACTTTCAAATCGCATGTGCCAAAGTTGCAGTCCTCAATTGTGCCAAATTTGGTATTGTGTCGTCCGCAGTGGCATTTTGCCAAGGCAGAAGGTGGGTGCAGCATCACGTAGACAAGAAACATATAGTTACGTATTAGGCTTCAATCTGCTTCATGTCGTATCACCGTAACGAGTCAAGTAATGATGTAAGTACGATGATCCGTCCCCCCTAACCAAACCCTAAATGGCTGAGTCAAGTAATGATGTAAGTAGAATGATCCCTCCCCCCCAACCAAACCCTAAATGGCTGAGTCAAGTAATGATCTAAGTTGAATGATCCCTCCCCCCCAGCCAAACCCTAAATGGCTGAGTCAAGTAATGATGTAAGTAGAATGATCCCTCCCCCCCAACCAAACCCTAAATGGCTGAGTCAAGTAATGATCTAAGTAGAATGATCCCTCCCCCCCAACCAAACCCTAAATGGCTGAGTCAAGTAATGATCTAAGTACGATGATCCCTCCCCCCCAACCAAACCCTAAATGGCTGAGTCAAGTAATGATGTAAGTAAATGATCCCTCCCCCCCAACCAAACCCTAAATGGCTGAGTCAAGTAATGTCCCCCCCAACCAAACCCGAAATGGCTGAGTCAAGCAATGATCTAAGTTCAATGATCCCTCCCCCCCAACCAAACCCTAAATAGCTGAGTCAAGTAATGATGTAACCCCTCCCCCCCAACCAAACCCTAAATGGCTGAGTCTAAATGGCTGAGTCAAGTAATGATCTAAGTTGAATGATCCCTCCCCCCCGCAATCCTCCCCCCAACCAAACCCTAAATGGCTGAGTCAGTAATGTTGTATGTGAACCCCTTCCCCCCCCAACCAAAACCCTAAAGGGCTTAGTCAATTCCAAATGTATAACAAACTCCCCCCCCCCACAAAAAGTGTAACCCATAACAAGTTGTGGCGGGTAGTCGAGGGCTGTGTGTGTGCATAGTAAGTAAGAATGATCCTTGCTCCCCCCCAACCACACCCTAAGTGGCTGAGTCAGTAATGAAATTTTAATCAGACGGATCCCTCCCCCCCCCAACCAAAACGCCTAAATGGCTGGTCAAGTAATGATCAAGTTGAATGATCCCCCCCCACAACCCTAAATGGCTGAGTCAAGTAATGAATGTAAGTCCGAATCCCTCCCCCTACCCAAACCCTAATGTGTAGTCAAGTCATGATGTAAGAGAATGATCCCTCCCCCCCAACCAAACCCTAAATGGCTGAGTTCAGTAGATGTAAGTAGAATGCTCGCCCCCCAACCAAACCCTAAAATGGCTAGTCAAGTATGTCTAAGTTGAATGAGCCCGCCCCCCCCAACCAAACCCCAAATGGCTGAAGTCAAGTTATGATGTAGTAAGAAAGGATCCCTCCCCCCCAACCCACCCGAAATGGCTGAGTCAAGTAAATGATGTAAGTTAGAAGGATTCCTCTCCCCCCACCAAAACCTAGTGGCTGAGTCACGTAATGATGTGAGTAGATGATCCCTCCCCCCCATCAAATCCCTCCCCCCCAACCAAACCCTAAATGGCTGAGTCAAGTAATGATGTAAGTACGATGATCCCTCCCCCCCAACCAAACCCTAAATGGCTGAGTCAAGTAATGATGTAAGTAGAATGATCCCTCCCCCCCAACCAACCCTAAATGGCTGAGTCAAGTAATGATCTAAGTACAATGATCCCTCCCCCCCAACCAAACCCTAAATGGCTGAGTCAAGTAATGTATAACCCCTCCCCCCAACCAAACCCTAAATGGCTGAGTCAAGTAATGATCTAAGTTAAATGATCCCTCCCCCCCAACCAAACCCTAAATGGCTGAGTCAAGTAATGATCTAAGTTGAATGATCCCTCCCCCCCAACCAAACCCTAAATGGCTGAGTCAAGTACTGATCTAAGTTGAATGATCCCTCCCCCCCAACCAAACCCTAAATGGCTGAGTCAAGTAATGATGTAAGTAGAATAATCCCTCCCCCCCAACCAAACAATTGCATGGTGGAGAGTTTTTAAAGGAGACAATTGCATGGTGGAACGCAGGGGGGGTGAGAGTTTTTAAAGGAATAGGGTCGCAAGTGACCGTTTTTTAGGGTCGCAAGTGACCGGGGATTTTAGGGTCACAAGTGACCGTTTTTTAGGGTCGCAAGTGACCATGGACCCGTCCATAGATAGATAGATAGATAGATAGATAGATAGATAGATACATGGATAGATAGATAGATAGATAGGTAGATAGATAGATAGATAGACAGATAGATAGATAGCTAGATAGATAGATAGATTTATAGATAGATAGATAGATGAAGAGAGATGGATGGACAGATAGATAGACAGACAGATAGACAGATAGGTCGATAGATAGATAGATAGATAGCTAGATAGATAGATAGACAGATAGACAGATAGACAAATAGATAAAGAGACAGCTAAATAAAAAGATAGATAGATAGATAGATAGATAGATGGATAGATAGATAGATAGATAGATAGATAGATACAGAAATAGATCGGTAGGTAGGTAGGTAGATTGTCAGAGAAATAGAGAGAAAGAGAGAGAGAGAGAGAGATCAAGCACTTTTCAGTCCATGAGTGGCTTCGCTCTGCCATCCCTGATTCACAACAACCAAGCTCTCCTATAGGCTTCCTATTTGTGAAACTTCTGCCACCGCCTTGTGCGGTACTACTGGTAACCTCTTGTATTGCAGAGCATCTCCTTCCAGTCGATTACGCAAAGCTGGTCCACGTTTCTCAGGCTCTAACTCCGTGATGTCACACCAGTCATCAATGGCATCTTCAAATGCAAAGAAGCTGGTTCTCCCATCATATGCAGGGCTCCCTTCGTGGTCATCTGTTGCGTCATATGGATTGA